GAGCTAGGGTTACACAATGCTCTTTGTATCAATATTGTGAAACCCGAGTCGAATATCAAACCGGAAGTACTCGTATTAGGTTAAACCTAATCCGATTAAACCGGTCTGATCGTGTGATTTTATATATGATAAGTAATTATTTATAAATAGATAATTATATATAAATGTAAAATTTTATATAACTAATAGTTATGTATAATTAAATTGAAGAAATATATCTCTATCTTTTTTTTGGACCGGAGTAAAAAAAACATTAGACTAGTGTTCTGATTTTTTTTTAAATTTTAAGTGAACTGTTTAGTTCACTTTCCGGTTTAACCGGGTTTAACACGATTGGACTGAAATTTCTCCGGTTCAGAACGGTCCAACCCCTCATTCGGTTAAGACTGTAAACCAAACCCGTTTTTAAGGCCGGTCAGAGGTCGGACTGCCCTGGTCCTCACAACACTACTTTTGTACGGTGGAAAAATTGCATGGTCAAGTAATAGATTCGCACTACCCGGTTTATGTTTCCTGGTTTTTTTGGTGATATGACATAACTTTTGATGTTAGTTAATCTCTTTTGGGATTTTGTACTGTTCTCGTTCTTTCTTTTCAAGATGGTGCTGCAAGCGGCATGAGTGTTGCGGTTATTTCAATTCCTTGCATGAAATACAACTATAACCAAGCCTTAATCCCATTAGGTGAGGTCGCCTATATGGGATCGAACGACACGATAATGATCTCTCATAAGTCATGTTCATTGACAAAACATTGACCTCTACATCATTCATAATTGTTTTGCCAATGTTTTTTCTTACCCCCTGTGTGAAATCGAAATACTTTTTTTATTAGAAGAATAAAAATAAGACTTATGAAAGAAGAGAAGAGTAAAATGGAATAGGATAAGATATTCTATTAGAAGGTTGAAGTGCCCAGCATCGTAAGTGACCTCTTCATTTTGATGACTGAAGTGTGGGAGTTGTTTCCAGAGATGATTTTTGTGATAGGGAAATATGTGCTAGGTTACTAATGTGTGTTCGTCCAAGTGGAAGGGGATTGTTTCCCCTTAAGTATGTTCTCTTGGGTTTGATCCTTGGCTTCATGTTTATGGAAAAACACCGCTTCTAGGAAAAACATGTTTATGGAAAAATATGTGTGCTTTTAGTGATGAAAACACCATTTAAGTACAAAAATGATTTTTTTTCTTCCTAGTTTTGCACTGATTAGTAAAATCTAACTTCAATCAAGCTGGCTTGTATTTGTTTATTTGCATCAGGAAGCTCTTTCTGGGAAGTGCAATGTTGTTTGTATTGCTAAGGATAGTAGGAATCCTCAGGTATCAGATGAAGAACTTCAAGATGCTGAATTTGTATTCTCTCGATTCTTTGATGTTGGTAAGCGTAATATATTGGATAAGATAGACGATGATAAGGTTGCTGACACTGAAGGTACATGTCTCTTATGGAATAAGTGTAATTTTGTGTAGTTGTAAGTTGTTGAGTATCTTATGGAACCATTTCTTTAATTGTTGCAGTTAAAAATATTTTTAACAATTTAGATAGTCAAAAGGCCGTTGGTGTTGTGAAACTTGATTTAGACAAGAAAGAAGGTAGTGGGAAAGTCACGACGAGTAATGAAGTTGTGGATCTTCCGAGTCAAAAAAATAGCCAGCCTGTAATGGGAAAGGCGAATGGCAAGGGTTTTGCCGCATTAGTTAGAGAAAATGTCGAGTCTAAGCCTTCGTCTGGAGAAAAACCAATCTCTCGCAATGGTGTAACTGAAGCAAGTAAATCTAGTGACAAGACCATGCCTCAAGCTAAAGTAAAAGGGAATGGGACTTCTAATGCTTCTTTGGTTAAGCAAAAATCATCTACTAAACTATCAGATGGTTCTAATGATTGTGGAATGACGAGAATAACTAAGACGAATGATAAACAGGGAAATATCTCTGGTGAGAAGACCCCATCAAGGTCTAATGTTGATTTAGGAAACGGTGAATGCAAGGTTGTCAGGGGTCCTGTCGGGAAAATCAACAAGGGATCGGCCGAGGTCAAGATGGAGAAGGAAAAATCTGGTGATTCTATTAAAGTCTCTAATGAGAAGTTAAAACGTGACTTGCAAAGTCAGAGACTTGCTTCTGATGATGGTGATATGAACAAAATATCTCCGTCTCCATCTAAGTTTGCTTCAGAAAAGGGTGGATGCAAGGTTGACAATCTTGTTCGGAAAATTAACAAGGGATCAATCGATGAAAAGGGGGAGAAGAAAAAATGTGGTGATTCTAACTTGCAAAGTCGAAGACTTGTTTCCAACGATGATGCGAAGAAAATAGCCACGTCTACATCAAAAGATAAATACAAGCTTCAACGGGCAGAGAATTTTTGCGATGGGGAGAATGTTCCTTCAAAGAAGTTAAAGCTTGACCACAAGCCAATGAAACTATCTGATGAGAAGTTGCGCAAAAAACCTACAAATTCTTTGAATTTGGAACAAAAGTTAAATCGATGTGCAAAAGAAGTTACTAGACGACCTGACACTGTAAGTTGCATCACTAGAACCCTCTCCTTGCCTTGATAGTTCTTGTTCTTTTGACTACCTTACACCTTAATACTCCAAAAAAATAACCAAATAAACAAGATAGAGATATGTTCAACCTAAAAGCATTTCCTTTGGCACATCATGTCTTTAAAGCTTGGCTTAAACAACGATCTTGTTGCTCTTGTATTTTATCTATACTAAGCTTGATCCACCTTAATGGTTGGGCTATCCTTATTGGCATGACCATTGGGTTTGCTTGTGGTTGGGGTTTAATCCTTAGAGACCAAAAAAAAAGTAAAGATCCTTAAAAAATCTAAATGCTTATGTAATATCATCGAAACAAGAAATTAGCATGCCACTAGAGTTATTAGTGTTTGGTTTACTAAGTTAACCATTCAAATTTTGGAGATATTCAAATAGGCCGTTGAACATATAAAAAATGTGTACTTGGGTTCTTCATGCACACCTTTGTTTCTTTCAAATTTCCGCGAACTTTACTAAAACGCATATGGATTTGTTAGAATTCCCAAAACGTTCATGGACCCACCAATGAACGAGTGGCCGATTTACGTAAGCTATGTTTAGGAGTTTGTAGCCGAATGGGATTGAGTGGGACATATTGGGATGGAAAGTGAAGGGAAATGATTGAACAAAATATTCTCATTTTATTATTTTCTTTGCTATAATACTCCTAGACAAGGGAACCTTAATTTACCCCCTTCCATTCCATTACATTCCCTAACACAACATTAAGGTTGGAGCCTCGTGTATTAGGTTGCGCCTTTTTTGATTTTAAGTGGATATATCAAACTTATTCATTGGAAATCTTGCATAATGGTAGTGTCATTAACTCACAATTTGGCTAGCTTTCCTTGCATTTTTGTTGATTTAAGTTTCTCTAATCAATCTATACAATAAAAAAATACAATAATGAATTTTGATTTGATGTCTAAATCTGAAAATGGGATCAATGTATTTTATACATACCTTAGAAGTAACACAATTTAATGATATCACTACTTGTATAAGTTTTGGGACGATACCTCTGCAAATCCAGACTCTTTTCTTGTAGCTATTTTTATTTATTTAGTTTGTGTGATTCCTTAAAACTCCTTATTTAAGTTTGGAGGATTTGGCTATTGTGAAGTAACTAAGATCTTATGTTGTGCTCATGTTCTATCTATGCTATTATGTGGTGCTTATGGTGGCTATATCTTTAAGGAAACATTTTTGACAATATTTTACTACGGAGGTGGGTTTTTGGCTTCTCTTTGATGTTTTGATCATGGCCTCTTTGGTTGTGGGATATTTTATGCTAAACAAAAGTTTAGAATAAATGAGGATTTATAATGACCATTCCCACGTGCAAGGCCAGATATTACCACCAACCTAATTGAGGATTTATAATAAAATTTGCGTATCACCTTCCAACGTGGTATTATTTAGGATTGAACCCAATCAACATAGAATGTTGAGTAGAAGACTTAGCCAGGTGTGCATGTAAAGAGATTCAAATACTTTGTTGATATGCTTTGACCTCCTATCTTTTTACGTCGGTCTTGGATGTGGGCTTGTTTTTGCAAATCCAAGATCTAATGCCACAACGCTTGCCTTTTATAGATGGTATTGTCCTAGTAGTGTCGAGAAAATAAATGTTAAGTTGGAGACATGGAGACAAAGCTTGAAGAGCACATAATTTTCAAGTATATGAAATATGAGATTAGAAGGAGGTGTATTGATTGTATCCTAGAGCATGAAGTTGGTGACTATAGGATTCAAGTGGGTCCTTAGAAGATGATGGGAAAAAAAATATAAACTATAAGATTCAAGTGGTGTAAATAAAATGGGGGAATGAGTTTGTTGTTATTTGTGATAGAGAAGTAGTACTCATGTTTAAGGGTACAACCATAACTTGTGATGTTGTATAAGATTGAATGTGGTGTTAAAATATCAGGAAGAGGACAAAATGATCAATGTAGCAAAGATGAAAATGTTGCATTAGATGAGTTGACTTAGTAGAAAAATTAGAATGGGGAATGAATGTATTACAATATTGGGGTGACACATTGTAGAAAAGATGATAAAATGTCATCTTAGATTGTTTGAGCATACGTGAAGAAGGCCAATACAAGCCTGAATAAGAAGAGTAGATTAGATGGAGCCCCTATAGGTGAAACCGTTGTGAAGGATTTAGATTTAAAAGATTCGTTTATAAATATGATTTACGATAGGGGGCATCATTTGATCCATGTAGAAAACCCCATCCAGAGGTACATACTTGATCACTCTTGTGAAGATGTCTTATCCTCCTTTTTTGAATTATTATCATCAAATAATATTTATATTAAAAAAGAATACCTAAAAAAACTCTTTTTTCATACTTATGATCTTCATCATAATTACGATTTTCACATTTGTAAATTATTGACGTTTAGGGCTATGGATTATTTTTGGTAAGGCAAAGATGAACGAAAATAATAAAATGCGGGTAGTAACCAGGCCCTCAAATCATGAGCGAACAGAGAGAGTAGACACGTTGACCAATTAAGATCAATTTTCGTGCACACAACCATGCTTCCTTCATCATATAATCCAGGGCATCGGCTTATTGTGCATGACTTTAAATCTAAACAGGATTCATCGATAAAAAAGAAAAGAGATAAAACGAAGAAACTAGCTTTTCTCTCTCTTCCTATATGCTATGAGAAAAGAAGTGACAAACCTAGAGGCAGCTAAGTTTTTTGTGTGATGAAAATGAATGGAATAGACTTGCATGAAACTAGGTTCTATTTTGTTGGATTGTTTATGGGATGGAATGAAGCTTGATGGAATGGAACCAACTTATGATTTATTCCATATTGCTCCGTTCTATCATAAAGTATCTAAACATATGATAACTTTTTTACATTCCATTCCATTGCGTTCAATTCCATCTCTGCTCCATCCATCACTAAATATCCATACATAGCTTAAGAAGTTTAGTGTTTAATGATCTTTTATGTTTCCACTTGTGTCTACTCATTTGTCTACTACACAAGTTCTTGCAGTTCTACATACTTTGGCATGTAACATGTTGCATAGATGACTTGGATAGTTGTTTTGTTTGTTTGAGTTTTGAAGAGGATAAAGGAAGGGGGATTGTTGAAATTGGCCTCTATAGATTGAGAGTAACTGAAGAAGTTTTGGGTTGTATATTCTAATTTACTATGTTGTGGGATACAATTTTCCATTGCGCTTCTATATGATTTTCATTTGATGCCAATTACAGTGGGGAATCTCATACATTCTAAACTGATGTCATAGATTTTATAAATTGTTTTACTTGTTTTATATAGTAGGTTTAGGCAATTATTGTTGTCAACTTTTATTCTTAATTTTGGATGATTTAGTTGACTTTGATGTATGCTTATAGTTCTTGAAATCCATTCAGCAGTTTAGTGTTCTGATGCATTCTGTTTTTTCACATGGTGACAGGATAGAAGCAAGTGGTTTAAGGGATTTGTAAGTTCTTTTTTCTCTGTTCTACTTTAGCAAATCTTGATTTAACTTCATGTTTGTTGGTTCCAATGAATTTTGTATCTTAAATTCATATTGCCTTTTTCTGAAAAGTAAATCAAGACTTACCTATGTATCAATGGTTATATTTCATATCCTTTTCAGCCTTGGGAAGAAAGAATGAAGACTGCTTATGAGCAAGGAACACTTGTGCTACTTGAAAACTTCGATCCCTCTCTAACTTCAGTAGAGGTAGAGGTAACAATCATTCTGAATTTCTTGAATCTAATAGATTACTTGAATATCTTGATTTTTGAGTATAGTAACAACACCCCGTAAAAGGACTTGCATGTCATTAGTGTGTTGACTCTTGCTGTGGTTTGATTAATTCTTGCTAAGCTCAAGTCATATAAATTTACCAAAATGTTTATGATGTGCTGTCAAATATTGTTTTCGTCCAGTTTGTTGTTTTTATAGGTTCCATCTCTCTCCGTCAACCATTTTCATGTTATTGCCCAAGTCATATAATTTTGTGTTGAGTCATTGCTGATAAAGGCTGTTGTGTTTATGATGTGCTGTCAACTATTGGTTTTTGTCGAGTTTGTCGTATTTAATATGTTCTTTCTCTCACATGCGCTCTCTTTCACTCATATACTTTACATGTTCTGTATTAGCGGGGATGCTATTTGGCACGCATGCCTTTTTACAAAGTTGTTTTCTCTTTCTCACTCTTTTGCTCTCTCTCATGTACTTTATATGTTCTTTATCACAGAATATTATTTGGAATGGCTTTAATGAAAGTTGCACTGCAAAGGTGATCCAGAGAACTGCATTTTCTAGCCCTCATTCTGGTTAGTACTCGACTCATCTTTTCCCATAAGCTAGTTAAGAGCAAATACACATTATTCCCTCATTGGACCACGAATTGCTGTTGTTTCTCAAGGGCAATATTTTTAAACATACCTCATACAACTGACAATGAATTGGTAATTTATTTATGATTTAGGTCAAGCTTTTGTTATTTTCAAAAAAAAGGATGCAGCGGAGTTGGTTGCTAAAAAATTAGACAACGGGTGTTTCTTAATGTCAAATGGACGGTATGGACTTAGCCTAACTACATGATAATTGCATTGTCAAACTGCATACTTCCTAATATGATTTAATCATTTATGAGACAAATTCGAAAGACATTTGGTTTCAACTCTCTTTTCCGTTGTTATGGATACTCACATAAGCGTGGATTATTGGGAATTGAAATAGGTTCAATGTGGGTCTGAGTAAATAAGTCTCTCTCACATTAAATAGGAATGGGCAAGATGAAGACCATATATAATGGAAGGACCCACTAACCTTTAATACTTTAAGCCTTGAAATTTTGGATTAAGATGTAATGTTGTGGCTCTGGTATGTCCTCTGTAATATATCACCGTTGTTTTGGGCTTCCTGAGAGTTCTAACTTAAATAAGGGGTATCAAAGGCAATGGTTTTGGTTGGTTTTGATGAGTGTTGGTGAAACAGTGGTGTTATAAATGATGGTATGAGTAGTTATCCGAACGAGACGAGGAGAAGTGGCTTAGTGAGTGCTGAAGAGTGGTAAGATAAGTGACACGACTCTTAAAAACTTGATCCAGGTGATGAAAGGCAACTGTTTAAGGCATAACATTGGTGAACATGACTCTTTTAATAGTAGGTCTGATGTTCTTCAGAAACACATTAGTGACTGGATTTCTCGGGAAAATGAGCCCACTCTTGTGGCGATACTGTTGAGTGAAAGTAGGTGCAATTGAAGAAGTCTCTCACATTAGCTTGGAATGGACAAGATGAGGAGCATATATTGCTGAATGATGGACGAGTTATGTCTTCTAATTTAATTAAAATAGGTGTGAATGAAGAAGTCTCTCACATTACCTAATATCTTCTAACACTTCCCTCAAGTTTAAGCTTACCAAAGATTATTACAAGTTGCAATCCTTTAAATTGAAAGTGAAGAATACTGCAGACTTCTAAAACAGAAGAAATAAGTAAGTTTCCCCCTTGAATTACAGTCTTGGCAACATCCTAGCCATATATCTCCAGTTCTCCATGCTTCTCCTTGGTACATGTCACAAGCAATTAGACTTGTATTTTAGTCTTCACCTTTGTCTTCAGTGGCCTCCCAAACTGGTCTACAAAACATATAGTCAAGTATTATACCATCGAAGATTGACCTCCAACCGGGTCTCTAATAAGGCCGGATCAGATATCATACCAAACAGTACCACAAATGGTCGTCCTGTTCTACTGTCCCAAGTCTTCAATTTGCAATTCCCTCTATTATTCCAAATTACTGAAATTGAAAAATTAGTTTAAGGCCTCAAAGAGAGACTAAACATAGGCAGAACATCTATGCATTGACCAAATGTTGGGCTGTCCATAGCAGTAGCAGCTAAACATGGCAGTGGCACCAGCTACCCACCCAAATGTTGTCAGCAATGACATCTCACCCTTACTTTTCATCATCAAATAGGATGAGGATCCATAACTGTTAGCCAATAATTGGAATCGAATACTAGATAAGAGGATTTGAAGTTCATTCAAATCCACTAAAAGGAGAATGGAAAGTAGACACATAGAAGAGGAAAGCACCAAACGCTGTGTGAAAGACAAAATACCCCAACCTTTGTGCTTAATAAAGTGTGACCTTAGTATTTGTGCCAAGATTGTTTTGTGTTTATACCCCCTTCTGTCTGTAGAATCTTGCCATTAGCAACCTTGCTAACCGACTAACACTCTAGTGATTATGTATACGAACTTGTTCTACTGGTCAAACATCTACATTATTACTAATGTATTAACTTTGCCTGCAAGTGGTTATGTAATGTGATTGCAAGTGTTATCTCTTTAATCATGTTTCACTGAGAGATTGTTATATTCCATTACCCGATAGTCCGCTTTTTGGAAGCATTGGACGTCCCTGCTTTCCAGAAAAGAAGCCAATATTTTATGGTCATCATGTTCTCGATCAACATAGAACGCAGATGCAACGTGAGATGGTGTGGTATCTAACTTTCTTGTATTTATTTTTGGCTAAATGTTTCAAAATTTCAGTTGAATAGATGATTTATTTTCTTTTGTTTGCGCAGAAAGATGCTGTCTCTACTTCACATTGTTCTCAGCCAAATAATATCGAGTACGAGATGGCCTTGGAATGGTGTTTGCTACAAGAAAGATCAGACAAAGCATGGAGTAGATTGTTCAAGGTATATATGGTCTGGGTAATGTGGCATTAAAATCATTTTCAATTCTACTTTATTTGTTGTTCATTGATCTTTGATTATAATCTTTGTATTCCTTTAGCAACAAGGGGAGGAGTTGAGAAAAGTGAAAGCAAAGATGAAGTCTAAATGATCTATTATATCTCTATACCTTTGCTTTTTCTATTGGTATGCTCTCCTTTCTCAAACTGTTTTCTTTGCATCTGATTCTGTTTATTTATCCAGGCTTGGAGATCCTTACTAGTTTTGGTACTTTATATCTTCCCTGTTTGTCCATGCAGGGTGATTACAAGTATGCAGTCCCGGAAATCAAAGGTTCTCGGCTTCTGGTAAGTTCTGCATATGCTACAAATATCATCTTCCTATTTTCAGTTGAATCATATTATTTTTTGTTTTCTCCTTTCGATTTGCAACTCTATTAGGAACTCAGCATGGTCTTTCTATACCATCTGTCTATATTGTAATAGTTGGTCAGCTTCTTTTTCAATATCAAATGCTGTTACATTTTTATTTATAACTTTTGTAGGTAATAGATTTTATTTAGATTTTTTGTGATCTTTATTTTCATCACAATATTGCATATCAGCGTTCAATATTTTGCGGGTAGATTGTGTGCTATACTGCAGTGAGTCAAAGGGCATGGTCTATATATGGCTATCATGGTCTAGATTTGGAGAGCATCCCAATTATATTCGAATATTTGAGTTAAAGGAGAATAAGGGTTTTAATCTGAAACCTATATCAGTGGGTTTTGTAACTTAAAAGTGTTTTTTTAATCTTTATTGGCAGAAAGTGTGGTGATCATGGTCATTGATGCAGTGGGGCTTGAACCTGCCA